CAAGGGTTGAGAGGTGGAAGATGGGTAGCTGCTATTGTACTAAGAGCTCAAACAGACCAAAATTAACTGCAACTTACCATCTAAGCCTGCCCTGCCCCCTGGAAGTTGCAAGCCTTCAATAGACTCCAGAGTTCCAAAATAGTTACATCAGATTCTGCCAGTACAGTTCTTGTCTAGGTGAGGAGACAGATTCCTGGTGCTTTCTACCTTGCCATCTTTCCAGAATCCTCAAAAGAAGTATTTGTAAAAACTGCTTCTTTATGTTAAACACGTATCTCAAACTAGATTGCAAGTTCCTTAAGGGCAGAATCTATATCGTTTCATAGTTGATTTGCATTTTTTCAGAGTATCCAGCATAATGGTGGGCTCCCAGGAACTCCTTTAATATCACAAAGGACTGACCTTTCACTTTGATAAGCTATATGTTTTTTAAAAGACCAGCTTTTAAATTTATTTATGGTTCCTACAATAGTTCTTTTACTTCTGCCTTGGGGCAATGTTATCTCATTGTAGACTTGTTCTACCACAGGGGCTCCCTTACAGAACTTTCTTAATTGAGACAGCTTCTTGCACTTTCCAGTTAGATCTTATAGTATGGGGTCAAAAGGGTAGACATCTGAGAAAACACTTTCTGATTTTTTTTTTTTTTTTAAATTTAAGGTGATATCCATCAGGTCTCCCCATCCTCAATTTTCTGTTTCATACTTGGAGTCTCTAAAACTTCATCCCTGAATAGAATACATCACATCCCCTTATCCCACTCTAGAATTCTTAACTTGCTTCTCATCCATTTATTAGAATTTATAGATTCTATTCAGCCAAAGGGTAGCAACTGGGTTTACAGACTTTAACAAAAGATCTGATGGCATCTGTAGTATTTACAATATCTTGGGCAGAATATTATAATTGTAGTAATTTTGGGCCTTGAGACAAGAATAGAAAATGTTATAGGGTACAGCTAGCGATCTCCTCAGGGAGAAAAAAAATCCTTTACTGCTAAAGGAAGGAGACCCTGAAGTTACATGGGTAACTTCATGAAGGCATGCTGGCATTTGGAAGACCAACGAATAACTGACTGATAAATGGACAGGGGCTTGGAAATAAAGTTATTAAACAGGATTTTAGTTTTCACAGATTTTGCTCTGTTAGTATTGGCAATCTCCTTTTAATAATTTTTTCATAAAATTATTGTTATGTAACACTAACATACAATATATTAATTTACTAGTATATTAATGTGTTTTATATTAGCATATTAACAATTATTACCCCACATGTAAATGTATAAATGGACATTTAATCTAATATACATAAATGTATTTATAATTTTGGTTGCTTTCAACTTTTCACATTCATCTTGATGACCAAAATGGTGTACTATATTTTTAAGTCTGACATAAATCCAAATATAGGTATCTGTACAAATATGTAAGTAAATGTCTTCCCATATTTTTTATAGTTTTCTTAATCTAGGGTCCTAGAATTGCATTTACTAGGCTAAAAGGTATATTTATACAACTTCTGAAAGAATGAGCAACATTATAATCTCACTGAGTTAACTTTCAGGATCAGCTTGAGCTGTAAACTTAAGGTCTTGAGTTTTGAACATTCTGTTTTGAACATGATTATTTCTTTGGGGAAAAAGTAGGTAGTTGTGTAAACCAAAAATAAAATTCTGAGTCCCTTAACCATCAGAATGGACCCCTTCTCTTGACCAAGGGCATTCCAAAATTAACCTGAAAAACTACTTCAGGCCAAGATGGGGAAGGCAGGTTTGGCTATGCCTCATTATACCCTCCTCTCTTCTGGAATTCAGAAAAAGCCAACCACCATTAACATCAACACAGACTTTAAGTTTCACAAGAAACAGTTACAATCTATTCTCTCTGAAGCCTGCTATCTGCAGGCCTCATCTGCATCAAGGGTGTTCACTCTTTTGGCTTCCTTGGGCCACAATGGAAGAACAATTGTCTTGGGCCAAACATAAAATACACTATCTGATGAGCTAAAAAAAGAAAAAAAAAAAAAAAGGAAAAGAAAACAAACAGACAAAACCCCTCATATTTTAAGAAAGTTTTACAAATTTGTGTTGGGATGGATTCAAAGCCATCACAGGCTGCATGCAGCCAGTGGGCTGTGAGTTGGACAAGCTTGATCTGCATGATAAAATTTTGGTCTCCACAACCCCTTGGGACATCCCAGACATTCCTTTCTATTGATTCCAGGTTTTTAGATAATAACTCTTTCAAGCAATTATCAATCAGAAAATCTTTAAATCTATCTATGACCTAGGAGCCTTGCTTTTTGTCCTGCCTTTCCACATCGAACCAATCAAATGTACATCTTCGATGTACTGATTGATATATTATGTCTCCCTAAAATGTATAAAAGCAAGCTGGGCCTTGGGCACATGCGGCCAGGACCTCTTGAGGCTGTGTCATGGATGCATCCTTAACCCTGGCAAAATAAATTTTCTAAGTTGATTTGAGACCTGTCTCAGATATTTCTGGGCTCACAGTTAACTGAAAGATACTGATAATTAGGCCCTTAACATACAAGTGGACAATCAGGAATTTAAATTGTTTGGCCTTTAGGAAAACAGTCTAGTCTGGTTAAGCCCCAGGGCTCTTAGGCCAGACCCAGGGTTGACTTCCCCACTCAGCCACGGACTGGCCTATACAGCCTCAGGCAAGTCACTTGATCTCTCAGTTGCTCAGTTTCCTTGTCTGTTAAATAAGGATAACAGTATCTGTGTGGCTCTGAAAGCTTAATGAGTTTATACTGTTAAAACACTTAGATTAGTGTCTGGCACACAGTTAAGAGCTTAAGAAATGCTAAATGCCTATAAATTATATCTTGCCACCTGTCCTCTAACCTAATTTTAAATTAATTTCTTAACGCATACCCTCCTGGAATGTCAATTTTATATGAAAATTCTGGGAAAGCTCTTTTCACATCAAACGAAACATGAGTTTAATGCAAATTTTTCATAAACAAAAGACTTCAAAGAAATTACTACGGGATGCACCGGGACCCTAGTACCCACATCCTAGGAAAAATATACTACATATTTGTGGAAAAGTTTGAGAAATAGTATATCATGTACCACACAGGTATATGGTTTCCTAAGACAACAGGTAAGTATTTTGAACTCACTCGCAGGCTCACAGACCACCTGGACTCCTGCACTGGGATGCTAGCCCTGATTTTCTTTGAGTACCCCTCCTCACTACAAAATTACCTCTCAGTCTCTTATCAACCTTATAATAGTTGCCATTTCCCCATGCATCCCAGGTAAGTATGAAGAATTTCAGCAAATTAGCCTGGTGACGCCCTGCCTTTGTATTTTTCTTTTACTATTTTTGTAAAAGAAAAAAAAAAAAAAAATCTCAGGACCTCTCCCAACTTTCTTACACAAAAGGGAAGATAGTTAAGCCCAGAGGCCAAGTGACTGCAACACCCTCTTCCAAATGAATGGCTGTTACTAGCACAATGCTTCAGCCAAATCCCTAAGGAAAGATAAAAAGACTCAGCCATCTGCGAAGGACTACCCCCACAGATCATTGTGAGTCAATTCTTTGCTGGTTTCCCATAAACAAGGGGATGCCAACTGTAACTTCAAGTCTACAACCTAAGTCTAGTTCCTAAAACTAAAGTCTAAAGTATAAATAGACCGGGTGCGGTGGCTCACGCCTGTAATCCCAGCACTTTGGGAGGCTGAAGTGGATCGTTTGAGGTCAGGAGTTCGAAACCAGCCTGGCCAACATGGCAAAACCCCATCTCTACTAAAAATACAAAAAATAGCCAGATGTGGTGGTGTACACCTGTAATTCCAGCTACTCAAGAGGCTGAGGCAGGAGAATCACCTGAACCCGGGAGGCAGAGGTTGCAGTGAGCTGAGATCACACCTCTGCACACCAGCCTGGGCAACAGGCTGTCTTCTCAAAACAAAACAAAAAAAAGTATAAATAAAAACGTCTTCCCATATTTTGGACAGTTTTCTTAGTCCTGGGTCCTAGAATTGCATTTACTAGTTTAAAAAGTGTGAATATTTTTATGACTTCTGAAAGACTGAGCAACATTACTATCTCATTGAGAAAACATTTCATTGAGTTTTGAACATGATTATCTCTTTGGGGAAAAAGTAGGTAGTTATGTAAACCAAAAATAAAATTCTAAGCCCCCCAACCATCTGAACGGACCCCTCCTCTCAACAAATGGCATTCCAAAGTTAACCTGAAAAACTAATTCAGGCCTTCCACACTGACAGTGTCAATTACAAGCTTATCTTCTCAGGTGCAAAACAAAGTCAGGATTCCACCTACTCAGAGGCATCTGCATAACGGACTCCCTTGACTCTCTTTTTCTCTTCAACACACTCATGGTATCTTAAAATACAGATTTCTTGGGCACTAACTGAAGTGTCACAGAACTATCCGCCTCACTGCCTCACTGCCCCACCTCCTGAAAACCTCTGGAAAACCAGTCACAGATGTGTCTGTGGCTCATGTTTTTCCCGGATGCGCCCTGAAGCAGGATTAGTAAACCTCGAGGACTGAGAATTATGCCTCAGTCACTCCGATTGTCATTTCTTATTGGCCTGTATGAATCCTGAGGGCAGAGAAATCCTGGTCACACTTAGCTCACTCCCCCGTGGGACTGGCCGCCTAGTTTTTACCAGATTGAGGAAATGTATTTCGGGAAATGTTTTGTATATTATCAAACAGGCCAGCTGAGCCGCAGTACTTTCCCGGAAAGAAGCAAACTCGACACAACCCTCTGGCACTGCCACTTCACGGGGATGGGGACCCGGGCGCGCCCAAGGACCGGTACACGCGTCACAGGCAAGCGGCGACAGAGGACCCAGAACACCACTTTCTCCTGATTGATTTTCGAGCCCAAGTCGCGTTTAATCTTTGCCGCGGCAAAGAGGATCGAGGGTTGGGGGTCTGTCGCCCCCAACACCATCGCCGCCCGGGTAGCCCAGCTGCGCACCCTACCTCCGGCCCTCCGCCGAGACTCTCCTCCCGGCCTCTCACCTGCGGCTGCGGACAACACCCATGGCGCCAAGGTGACGAGCACTAGGGTCGTCGCGCCCAGGAGGGTGACCATCATATGGGAGCCGCCGCAGGTCCCACCAGTCACATCTCCGCGAACGCAACACTCCTCTTAGCTTCCATGGCCCCCTCCTAAGCCACACCGCCCCTCTGCGCACGCGCTGCCCCTCCTAGCTCTCATCGCCCCTCTGCGCACGCGCCTTTCCCCAGGGCTCGCACCGCCTCTCTGCGCACGCGCCATTCCTCCGCGCACGCGCCTTTCCTCCTAGCTAGCACCTCCTCTGCAAGCTCCCATTTCCCCCTCTAGTTTCACCACGCCTGTGCACGAGCGCCTCAGAAATGGTAGGCCTCCTGCCTTGTCTTCTTCCAAACTCTTTCCGGCCAGTGGCCGATCTGGCGCAGTTCACCATCGCATTCCAGGAAGACCCCGTCTCACGGGAGGCCTTGACCTTCACAGGATCGCGGCACACACGTGCGCAGACCCAGCGACTTTGGAGTTCCTGCGTGTCTTCCCCATGTCTGCAGTCGGAGGGCGTGGGTGGGGTCCGGGTCGTGGCCGTGCGCTCTTCGTCCTTGCCCTTCTCCGCCCGGAGCGCTTGCCGACCCTAGAGCCTTGGATAGTGGCGTTGGGAGTCCCCAGCGGCCTGGGAACCAGATGAGGCTGGAAGGAGGAAGTGGCTGAGCGACCAGACTGTTCCTGTGTGCAGAGCCAGAGCGGGGCAGAGGCACTCGTTTTCGGGGCGACTTGGCTGAGGGGCGAGATGGTCCCTTGGAGAGAACCGCCACGGGCCCTGGGCCGAGGGGCTCCAGAACAGCGGTCGCTAGGCTTTGGTCGTGGAGCTTTATCCGTAAACAATTCGAGCCCACCGTTCGAATGATTATTTAATTAAATTACTCAGTAATAGAGCAAGTGCATTGTGAAAATATGCAAAATAAAATTTAAATGATGAGATAATCAAATAATTGGTTATTATAACAACCAAGCAATTAATTAGCGGTTACATAATTAAATGAATGTTTGTAAAGAACAATACAATGGAATTTTTTTTTTTTGCTTTTTTTTTTTTTGAGTCGGAGTCTTGCTGTCTCGCCCGGGCTGGAGTGCAGTGACGCGATCTCGGCTCACTGCAACCTCTGCCTTCCCGGTTCAAGCGATTCTCCTGCCTCAGCCTCCGGAGTAGCTGAGATTACAGCGGTGCGCTATTACGCCTGGCTAGTTTTTGTATTTAGTAGAGATGGGGTTTCCGCTGTGTTACCCAGGCTGGTCTGGAACTCCTGACCTCAAGTGATCCGTCCGCCTCCGCCTCCCAAAGTGCTGGGATTGCAGGCTTGAGCCACCACGCCCAGGGGAAATATGCCTGTTTTAAAGAGGTATAATTTACGTATCATTAAAGTAACCCAGTTTGAGTGAATAATGATTTTTAGGCAATCTATCCAGTTGTAGGTATCGTTTTAAAAACCTTGAATTATTACTTTATGATTCATCGATTTGGGGGTTTGATTCTGAGTGTGTCAGTACTTCGTTTTAACAACATCAAAGGTGGAAAAGCACCCCATGAAGACAGGCCAAATGGAAGAGGAAAAATTCCTGGTTGCGATTACAAAATCATAGTTATTTTAAAAGCCTTTCAAACGACTCTGTCTGTTTAAATTAAAATGTCCATTTCCTGCTGCCCAAAAGTTCTGGCAAACTAGTTGGAATAGGATGCATTTTTATATTTAGAACAATGAGCTCAAAATGACTGAAACGTTTCATTAGATTTTTAAACACATTGGCAATTTCCTCCCCTCCTTTTCTTCCTGCTTTCCTTTCCTAAAATTTTCGTAGTCTTCCCTATCTTAATACAACCTGTTATGAACATTGAATTGTATTTTAATAAAATTGGATTGTGCTTTAATAAAATTTGCCACAGCTGTGACACCCTGTGGTAAGCACTTTGTGTACTTTAGTTTCAGCTTGTTATAATAACTTAAGGATAAGACATGAATTAATTTCCCCTGTGGTGCTAGCTCTATAACCTTAACCCAGAACCTCCTTTCTCTCCTTAATTCTAGTTAAAACGGTCCATTAGAGTTTTTCCATACAGCATGTTCTTTTTTACTTTTTTTTGGCGGGGAGGGGAGAGGGAGTCTTGCTCTGTTGCCCAGGCTGAAGTGTAATGGCATGATCTCGGCTCCCTGCAACCTCTGCCTCCCCAGTTCAAGCGATTCTTCTGCCTTAGCCTCCCAAGCAGCTGGGACTACAGGTGTGGGCCACAGCGCCTGGCTAATTTTTGTATTTTTAGTAGAGATGGGGTTTTGCCATGTTGGCCAGGCTGGTCTTGAGCTCCTGGCCTCAAGTAATCCGCCCACCTCAGACTCCCAAAGTGCTGGGATTACAGGAGTGAGCCACCACACCCAGCCCCCTTTTTACTTTTTGCTTGGAAATAATTTCAAATTATAGACAAGTTGCAAAAATAGTAAGATAACTCCCACATACCCTTTGCCCGGATTCAGCAAATCATTAATATTTTGCCGTATCTGCACTCCCTCTTTAAATACACATACAAAGTCATATATGTATGTTACTTATTTTCCTGAACTTCTTTAGCTTTCTTTAATCCAGAGTAATTCCCTGGCCATTGTCTTTCATGTCATGGACATTTTTTTGATTTGGGGACTTTTGTTTTTCTTTTTTGAAAAACACAGGCCAACTATTTTATAGAATGCTTCTCCAATTTGCACTTGTCTGATGGTTTCTCCTGATTAAGTTCAGATTATGCGTACCGGGCTGTAATTCTACATAAATTGTGTGGTGTCCTCAGTGCATTCACAGGCACATTAAGTTTATTAGTCCCTCATCTGTAATGTTAATTTTGGTTATGTATCAAAATATTATAGTCCCCATTGTATAGTTACTATTCTGCCCCCCATAAACCCCCACCACCCTACCTCCTGCAGCTAATTGGTGGGAAGACACTCGGAGATCCTGCAAATATTCTGCTGTTCATCAAACTTTTCTTCTAGAATTAACATCCATTAATCATCCTTGCTTGAACTGTCCTACCTGTGACAGTTACGAAATGGTAACTTTTCAACCGTGACCCTCTCACTACAAATATTAGTTGACACATTTTAAGAAAGAGCTTTTCTTTCTTTCCATTTTATTTTTATTTTTATTTATTTATTTTTTTGAGATGGAGCTTCACTCTTGTTGCCCAGGCTGGAGTGCAATGGCACCATCTCAGCTCACCTCAACCTTTGCCTCCTGGGTTCAAGCAATTCTCCTGCCTCAGCCTCCCGAGTAGCTGGGATTACGGGCATGCGCCACCACGCCAGGCTAATTGTGTATTTTTAGTGGAGACAGGGTTTCTCCATGTTGGTTAGGGTGGTCTCGAACTCCCGGACTCAGGTGATCTGCCCACCTCGACCTCCCACAGTGCTGGGATTACAGGCGTGAGCCACTGCGCCTGACCTCCATTTATTATTGTTATTATTTTTTGAGACGGAGTTTTGCTCGTCGCGCAGGCTGGAGGGCAGTGGTGCGATCTCGGCTCACTGCAACCTCTGCCTCCCGGGTTCGAGCATTTCTCCTGCCTCAGCCTCTTGAGTAGCTGGGATTACAGGCGCCTGCCAACATGCCTGGCTAATTTTTTAGTAGAGACAGGGTTTCGCCATATTGGGCAGGCTGGTCTCAAACTCCTGACCTCAGGTGATCCGCCTGCCTTGGCCTCCCAAAGTGCTGGGATTACAGGCTTGAGCCACCGTGCCCGGTCTCCATTTATTATTAGTATAGACTCAAAGATTCTTATTTCGTTGGTTATAGTTCATTGCTATCTTGATTTACATTTTTAAAATTAATATACAACTTTTAGAGGAGTGTTAGGTTTACAGTGTGGAGAGTTCTTATATACCCCTTCATCCCAAGCCTGCTTTCAGTTTCCCGTTGTTAACATTTTGCGTTGGGGTGGTACATTTCTTACAGCTGATGAAACTATACTGATACATTATTATTAACTAAAGTCCAGAGTTTACGTAAGAGTTCTCTCTTGGTGTTGTACATTCTATGGGTTTTTACAATTTATAATTGTTACTGGTAGAAGACATCCCAGTTACCTGCACAGTGAATTCAACTGAGGGGCATAAAGTCAGAAAAAGAGACTGAGGCGAGTTTCAGAGCAGGAGTGGAAGTTTATTTAAAAAGGCTTTAGAACAGGAAAGAAAGGAAAGGACGCTTAGAAGAGACCCAAGCGGGCAACTTGAAGGACAAGTGCAGTGTTTAACTGTGATTCTAGGACTCACAGGCTGGCCCACTTCTGTGGTTTTGCATCCCTTTCCCACGATTCTTCCCTTAGGGTGCGCTGTCCGCATGCGAAGTGCCCTTCTTACGCTTGGGAGGTGAACACATACATTGTGTTTAGGAAGTCGTGCGCATGCCCATCGGAGGATTTCTTCCCTTTTCCGATGGAGTGCCCCCGGAAGGTCATACTCCGCCATTTTGTCTCTTAATGTGCGTGCACAGGGTCACTCACCAAATACCGGAGATACTAGTGGAAGCTCTTTTTGCTTCTCCCTGGCGCCTACGTTCAATTAACACTCTAATGTAATAGCTGTGGACCATCAGGAGATAATTTGGCACTGGGTGCTGAATTATTTTTAGAGAGGCAATGTGATTGTTGAACCATCACCTGACATTCCTGGTGGGTGGGGGAAGAGCCCTTTCCTGCCCCTCTCATGCCTAACCACCTGCAACATAATGTTATGTATCTACCATTACAGCATCATACAGAGGCATTCGCCTGCCACTAAATATCTCCGTGCGTGCCGTCTACCAATTCACCCTCCTTACTTTATTTTAAGCTCAAATGCTCCCAGATCGTTGGCCAGTGGCAGTCACTTTCAAGCTGACTCTTTGTTCCTTTTTGCTGATACGTTCATAATTTTTTCTAACACTTCTTTAACTTTCTAGCCACAAGATGGCGGGTCCCACCCAGTTCCTCTTACATTTTTCACTGCTCAGCTTCTAAAGAAGCACTTCTTCAAAGGGGCCCTGTTTTTTTTTGTTGTTGTTTGTTTGCTTTGCTTTTGTTTTTTATCTGCAGGGAGTGATGCGGTATTAGATAACCGGATAGCTTTGTATATTAGGCAACGTTAAAAAAACTTTTTTTTTTATGTATTTTTTGCGCTTTAAAG